TAGCAATAAGCTACTTGTTCCAAACCTATCCCCAAGGTAAAGTCTACTAAGGTATAGATGTCTCAACTCAAGCAAGCAAGAGTCGAAATGAAAGTAAAAGAATTACAGAGAAAGAGAGACACCTCTCCCATGTTTGTACATTGTTAGTTTCTTAGCTTAAGATAAACTGGAGAAGCAGTGACATCAAAAACTCACTAGCATAATATATTTCATGTGATTCATTTCCTGTGTACTTCCAATTTTCTGTAAAGACAAGATAATGAAACTAATCATCTACTGACTGAAGCTTTAAATTTAGTGTAAGGAGGAGTGTGGTACACTATATATAATGAAAAGTAACAGTCCCTTTAAAATCTAACAAAACAACAGTAAATAAATAATAACATAGTGCTAAATACACCCAAACCAGTGGAGTGGCTGTGTTTAATGAGTTGAGTTACATTTCACTGAGCACAGCTGTATGCCTTTTGCTTTAAAGTCACCTTATAGTTGTTGCTTTCAATGTTTAGCTCTCCCTCCAGTGCAGAAATAACTCTATTGGACAAAATTGGGAGGTTAAATGAAAACAAAGAAGAAGAAAAAAAGAAAGAAAAATCACAACAACAACAAAACACCATGTGCTGCAAGGTCAGAGCGAGTCCCCCTCCCACGTAGGCAGGAAGTGTCAAGCACAAATTGTCTGTGGGCGCTGCCCATCAGCAACAGGAAGAACAAAGTGCAAACCAGCAATGACGCCACACTCCTCACATCATAGGATGATGGATTATTTTATTTGAACACCTTGGAGACAGTACAGCCACCCTGAACTTTCTATTTCACTTCACAATGGTGGCAACAATGCTAGCCTAAAATTAAGAGCTGTTTCCATACTGTTCAAAAAAGGAGTAGGATCCTGTAATTACTTTTAAAATATACATTTAGTGGGCTTTTAATCTTCTAAATTGTCATTATAAGGCAAATTTTAGATGAGCTCTGTATCTTTCCACTTCTCCTGCCACACTAAGGACATCTCGACAGACCAAAAATCCATTGACCCAACCATAAAAACAGCAAGGGTTCATTTTCACAGCAAATATCTACTCGCAGAGCATCCTGGTAATAGCCAAGTGAAAACACTCCAGACAGCTTCAGTCAAAGGTAATCCATCATACGCTGAATAAATCTTGTATCACGTGCAGCACATTTCCTGGCTACATTTCCTACTTTAAAACAGAAAAGTGTGCAGGGTGAATTTTCTTTAATGTGAATGTATTCACACTTGGCAACCATTTAGATGCACATCAGCAAAATATACTGTACTAGATGTATGGCTATGAAGATAACTCATAGCACTCACAGGCACAAAAACACACCCACACTTGCTGGCATCCCACAGTATAGCAGGACAACACTGTTTTGTTGAGTGTATATAGAGTCTAATTATATTGTGAGCAGTGGCGATAAATCACTGGAGTCTTAATCAAAGCACTAGAACAGAGAGAGTCATCAATCACCTACAACAGCACAACACAACATCAGCCTGAAGCCTCTCCTTGTCTTCTTGGCTGGCAGCCCTGCTTTGCGCCTAACTAGGGCCATATCGCTGTGACACATTATCATTAGCACAATCAACTCTACTTTGGATGTCCTGACAGAAAGCAATCAGATGGCAAATGGATATGAGATATATGGAGCTATAAAGCTGACAAACTCTGATTCCCATGTCAATGCATGCAGAGGAGAAAGCAAAAGATCTCTTTCCCTGTTTTCTGGGGAGTGCACGCAGCTCCTCTGAGGTTCTTCTTCCGAGCAAGGTGTCATTGTTTTGATAGCCTGCCACGATCTAGTGAAGGCCTGCTTAATTCTGATCTCTTCGGTCTTTGCATGAACCTTAACTGCAGTTGGCTGTGATGGATCGCCAAGAGTAGGGTCACCTCAAAAGCACAGTAGTGACATTCAAAATGTCCCAGCTTAAGGTGGGGGAGTGACAGATGGCATTTCAATGGAATCTATAAAAATGTGTCAGCACCAGAAGATTTTGACTTTGCCCTACTTTTCAACTAGTGTACATCTAAAATAACAATACAGGGAAAGCCAACAGAGCTGACACTGCTGCAGTCTGGAGCATACCTAACACCTTAATAAAGTGCCCAGGAGCAAGAGTGTGATTGAGACCCACGGCAATGGGTTTCAGTCATAACCAAACTGGTTTTCAAGTGTCTTCTGGGATTGTATTTCCTTTTTTTGATGAAATGTTATCACATCATTCTGCTGTTTAACATGAGAGCATGTCCGAGGTTAAATGAAAGAGGACAAGGCGGATAGCACAAATCGAGAGAGAGAGAAGGGCTGAGATGGTGGGCAGTCAGCTATGAAGGACATGGCCACAGCAGTTATTTTTAGTAATCAGTTTTCAGAGGCTGTCATTCGGAACACCTCATTAAAAATCAGTTTGTTAAAAAACCCTCCAAAAAACACCACCACATTCAAATCAAAGAAACTCTGAGGCTCGTGTCCTGCGCACATATGAGCACACACCCCAGCATCAAATATTATGAGCTCATAAGGTTATCAGCTATCAGCGCATACATTAGCAGACTGCTGGTGACCTCTGTAGGAGACACCTTTTCCACATTTGCTTTAATTTTAGAGGCGGTGTAGACAGGTGGATTAATTGTGTCCACAAACCCACAGGCACCATCTTAAAATGCAAAGAGGCCAATCCAAGGTTTATTAATCATTCGATAATAAGAGATTCATTAACACGATTTGGATACATTAAATCAGATGCTTAAGGTAGATGCCCTTAAGTAACATAATACCAAGATTTAAATTTCCTGTCTCATCACTGCAGAGTGGAAAACAACTCAAAGCAACAAATTAATTACTTTTTATGTAGGGTAGTAGAAATGCAGAAGAAAGGGTGCTGCATATTTTAGGACTTTATTTCTCATTCAGTTACTTTGCATCCACTGCGGACGATAAGATTAATTCATCAGATAGTTTTATTCCATTCGAGCAGGCCATTTCGCTCTTTAATGCTCATTAACTGGTTTTATAGATGATTGCTAGTTGCGGGGCTAAAGCACATAAACCGGAGCAATTATCAGGTAATTACTAGTATAGACTTTATTTAACTCTCAGTGCCATTGTTAAACTCCAGTGCCCCACGGTGATGTAGAAAAGTTACACTAAGATTGCATGAAAAGTATCAGCATTCGAACAACTGTGCTAAATACGATCGCTAAAAATTGATTTCAGTGATATACAGCGACGAGAGTCTAAAGTAAGCGTGCACAAATATACTTCTTTAATCATTTGGCACTAACAAAAATAACTTGTTTTATGAATGAATGAAAAAAGATTCATACTGGATACTTCACTGTGGTCCAGTGTTATAAAAGCTTTAAATCATTATCCTGTTAAGCGATAGAGCCCTCTAGCTGTATGTTTCTCCCCATATGTGTCTCAATAATCTCCTGATTTTATCCTGCAAGGTGCCCTATGGCACACACAGCAAAGCATCCCCATAAGACAACTGAGCCGCCTCATAGATCACAGAGGGCAGGGCGTGATGCTCCTTAAAAGCTTAATTCTCTCCTGTGAACATGATGACACTTACTTTTTGTTTCTTCTGTTTGAAAAGCAGCTGCTCAGTAAGGATTTTAGAAAAGTAGAGTTTTTGTAATGTCTCCCTTTCAAAAGTGGGCTTTTCCTGTTGTATTCAGAAAGGGGCGCACAGTACAGTCAGGGTGTTTTGATCTTGGAGGTCAAGTAGTGTATGTTTTGAAGTTTTTGTTGTATTTTTTTCCTGTGTCAAATAGGCTACAGCCACATCTAAGGAGTTTAAATATGGTCCCATAAACTTCAATGTCATACAGAGATCAGATGTTAGCAGAAGAAATTGCAGCCTTTACCAAGACCATGCATGGCAATTATTTTCTTCCTTTTCTCTTGTTTTGTTTCTTGTCTCTGTTCACTCTGGTGAACACAAGAGCACAAACATTTTTTTTTTCATTTTAAATAGCCTGAATGACACAACACAAGATTGAGAATCCCTGTATTACAAAGCAAAGGCAATAACCTGCGTGAAATGTCACATTTCACGACATATTTGTGGAATACCCTTAAGCATTTAATCCTAACAGTTTTTTGTTGTTTCCTTGCATGCCCAGTTGACAGTATGATAGTGTTTAGCACAGATGTTTTAATTTCAACACTTATCAGGATGAACTGAGGACCACTTCAGTAAGGTATACGGTGTAAGGGTACTGTATTGAACCAATATGGACAGTATTGATACCAGTACTGGCATTGGTTTCAAATCGATGCTAGGTGATAGGATCGATACTTTGTTTTTATCAGTATGTATGAATGAATGAATGAATGAATGATGTCAAATAATTTCTTTGGAGGAGGGTGAAAATATATAAACATGCACAATTAAAAACGTCTGACTCGTTTTGTGTTGACTGTCACATCTATTTTATTTATAGCCTATTGCACATGTAAACAACAGATGATGAAACCTTGAAAAGCTGAAAGGTGTGTTTTGTTACATTTACTAATTATTGTGGACAGTAAAAACATTACAGTGGTTGATGGTCATTAAAATGTGTTCAGAATTTGAAAATGAATAATTCATCTCATAAATCACGGCACACTGCCCCCCGACCCGCTCTACTTAAGCATCGGTATTGCAAACACTGGCCCTTGATTTACTTGGTACTGGATCAATACTAAAATGTGCAGTATTGCCCAGCAATACAAGTTTGCGCTTGAAAACTGGTGACTTGTAAAGCCGTAAGGTAAATGCTACCATCTGTTGGAGCTTCGATGTAATTTCCGCCTTTATGACCGACTGTTGACAATGCAACCTTCACGATAATGGGAATATTGAAATTCCACCTAAATAATAAAATTACAACTAATTTAGCTTATATAGATTATATGCTCTACAGCCTCTAGCTGCGGGACACATTCATTCTAAAACTGTAAACCAGAACATTGTCAACAGAGACTTTTATCCGACAGTAACGCTATTGTTGGCTGACAGATTTCTTGTTTACTACTGCTAAATTGGACATTTGAAGTTACTCAAAGATGGCGGAGACGGACGAGCCGTAAGTAGCTGTCGAAGAAACAAGCAAGAAACCCCGAAAGATGCTTTCAAGTCACCTTAATCTGCGAAAGCACAGCATGAATCAACCTTCTTTTATTCTCTCTTTTTAGGGAGAAGAAAAGAAGGAGAGTAGTGGAGCTGACTGAGAAGTTAGTGATCAATTGATAGAACTGGCGCAAGGTTTGAGGTTAACATTAGGAGGAAGGTTAACATTAGCTAGACGAAGAGCTAAGCTAATGCTGGTTGTAAATGACACTTGTGAGTAGCTAGTTGACAGAAATATCCTGCCTAGTTGACAGTGAATAACTAACACGTCTGTATAGTGAATTAGTAGTGGTATTATTAATCTCTGTGCGAAGTCTGAGGTCTGTTGTACCTCCTCACTGTTGACATGTTAGCTATTCACTTAGCTTAGCTGCCGGCAGGCTGGGAGCTATTCAGGCAAGAGATATTACCCAAAATTCAGTGGGTCAGAAACGCCCACCCGTGAGACAGGCAGTTTTACTAAGATGTTTAAAGGGGACAAATTATGCTCACTTCCAACTCTTTGCTGACTCTTTTTAATCTTGGACTCTTTTCAAGAAGTTCATATTTTTTTTCATCTTATATTGGACCTTGGTGTAGCCCAGGCATTCTGTCCAAAGCCCTATAATCACTTTCAGCTAGCGCCCTTTAAGGGAGCTTTCATCTGATTGGCTGCTCTTCACAACTAGAAACTTTTAACTTGAGGTCGGTGGGGCTTTTGTGGTCACGGCCAAAGTTGTGTGCCTGAGATGACCATATAAGTAGAAACAAGCTTTTGAAACTGAAAGCTTTTGGCTCAAAGATTTGGCCATGTTTAATGTGAGCATCCGCTGTTGCAACAACTATGAAACGGCATAATAGAGCCGCTTTAAAAGAGTCATATATGTGAGAGAACCGAGGTTGATGTAGAGTAGAGTAGACATTAAAACATAAGGTAATGATGCCTACTTAGTTTCTTAAAAGTCATTTAATTTTCTGCTGTAAGTAGCGCTCTTCCTGTTAACATTAATCACAACATTGAGCATAGGATTTGGTTCTTTTCCATGCTGTACAATTTAAGTAGCGATAAACATTTTTATGTTATTGGGCCATATGTTGCCATGCATGCACTATTTAACATTTTTGTCAGAGATACTGTTGATAATGCATCCTAAACATGAATGTCATCCTTAGGATGTTGGTGGATGGAGACACTGGAAGCACCTCTGACTGGGATGACCGTTGGAACCATATCAAGAAGTTTTTGGAAAGATCAGGTCCATTCATGCATCCTGACTTTGAACCCAGCACAGAGGTAATATTTGCAGTGAGGAATCTGATACAGATATGTCATTTTTTCTGTCCTGTGGCATATTTGATATCTCTGATATGAAATGTATTCTCCTATTTTAGTCCTTGCAGTTTATGTTAGAAACCTGTAAAATCTTGGTCATTGGTGCTGGTGGTTTGGGATGTGAGCTGCTAAAAAACCTGGTATTATTATTATTATTATTATTATTATTATTATCATCATCATCATCATTTAAATGGTATAATTATAATTTCAGTGAATAGTTCATATTTAATTTTCATCTTTTTGTTCATCTTGTGGCTCAGGCCTTATCAGGCTTTCGCAACATTCATGTTGTCGACATGGACACCATTGATGTTTCCAACCTAAATCGACAGTTCCTCTTCAGGTGAGTAGAATCAGTCAGTTCTGTGTAAAGGCTGATCCTTACTGTGTTACGTTTTATCTTTGATTTTCACGTGTCTGTAATTTTCACTAGAGCTAAAGATGTAGGTCGACCCAAGGCGGATGTTGCTGCTGACTTTATAAACAGCCGTGTGCCTGGATGCTGTGTAATCCCGTATCCTTTTGATTGAGCAACTATTCTGAGAGTTCAAATGCTTTATCACGTTCACATGGCTAAAATTTTAACGTACAGTCATTGTGGACAAAATGTGAAGAATGTTCAGATATTACAGTTTAAGAATGCAAAGACACCATACTACTTTTCTGTGATGCGAACAATATGAAGTGAATATTGTGTTAAAACCCAAACCTTTCCTAAATGTTTTGTGCAGCTATTTTAAAAAGATTCAAGACTTAGATGAAACATTCTACAGACGTAAGTATCAACAGGGCAATCCATTACTGGCTTTTGTAATGTCTGAATGGATTTGCTCACTTGAGATTAATTTTGTTTCACATTAAATATCTCACTGCAGTTTAATTTATTTTTTTAAGTGTGTGCAACTTACTCTAAATGAAAAGCCATTGCACCCCTTAATAGAATAGAGAAACATAATTCACATGTCCACTTTCCTGTGATGTAAACCTGCTTCTTAATGATCTCACTTGCCATTAGCAATTTACTTGTTAACTATAGTTACTTGAAAAAGAAGGTTTTCACAGGACCCCACAAAATCCTATAAAAGTCCTTTGTGATATTCTTAAAAACCCAAGGACTACAGCAATGTTCCCTCTAATTTTTCATGTGTCTGAGCGGACACACAAACTCCCTGAGCAGTCCCTTGGACCACTGTGAGCAACATTAGACGTCTGCACTGTGGTCACGCCAGCATCAGATCCATCCAAGTTACATGGTTTATTAAAATAATCAAATGACAGCATTTACATTTATGTTAGACTACTTTTAATTAACCTCTTTAGCCCACTTACAATGAAAAATTTAAAAAAAGTCTTGTTCATGACCTGTGCAGCATGTTAACACTATTGGAAGTAAAAATAACTTGATCTCCAATTATGAAAACAAAACTTTCTTCTTTTTTTTATAAAGCTCTGACTTGTATTATGAGTATGAGTCTGTGGTCTGGGAGAGAGTCCTGTAACTCTGTCTGTAGAATACAGTATATAATCACCAATGTTGGGCAATTAATTATATAGTTACTTCTTTAAAAAAGTAACTGAGTTTTGCAACAAAGTTTTTTACAGCTGTTTACCTAAAAATGCAGCCAAGGCGTTTTTTTTAAATAAACATTTCAAACTATTTACAGCAGCGGTCCCCAACCCCCGGGCATCGGCCGGTACCGGTCCGTGAGTCGTTTGGTACCGGGCCGCGAGAGTTGAGGCTCAGGTGTGAAATGTATGGTTTTCAGGGTTTTTATCGGTTTTCAGCGTTATTTTGTTATCGTTTTTATCGTTAACTCGGTTTTCCTGGGTCTTTTCACGTGTGTTATGAATAAATCTTCTTTTTTTTCGGTACCGGTACTAGTTTTATTTTGTTGTATTTATCCGCGACACCTTAAAGGCCGGTCCGTGAAAATATTGTCGGGCATAACCGGTCCGTTGAAAACATTTCAAACTATTTACAGAACAATCAGCTGTTCTGCATCAAATTTGATGCCACACAAATTATTTGTGCCACTCCAAAAAATAATTTCTGTCCACTATGAGATAAAGGAGAACAACAGCCTGATACCTGCAGGCCTGACAACAGGAGATGTATCACTGCTGTAACACCTGTAACATTCAGCAGTCGCCTCATTGTTCTGACACACACAACAAAACTATTGACTACTTATCATGTATCTTATATATGTACAATATAAGAGTGTATGCATATTACTGAATGTGTATACTAATATGTATATCTACTTGTGTATATGTGTGTGTGTGTGTGTGTGTGTGTGTGTATACATATTTTACAAATTAAATAGAGTCAACAATAAATAAAATATATAAAAATATACAGAGTTGAGACATGTGCAAAACAGTGGCATTACTGTACAGTATGGAGTGCATAATGTTGAAGTTCCAGTAGTGGAGGTGAGGTGTCTATGACGTGTTCAGCAGTCTGATGGCCTGGTGGAAGAAGCTGTCTCTCAGTCTGCTGGTACGGGACCGGATGCTGCAGAACCTCCTTCCTGATGGAAGTAGTCTGAACAGTTTATGGCTGGGGTGACTGGAGTCCTTGATGATCCTCCCCGCTTTCCTCAGGCACCGCTTCCTGTAGATGTCTTGGAGGGAGGGAAGCTCACCTCCAATTATCCGTTCAGAGCACCGCACTACTCTCTGGAGAGCTTTGCGGTTGTAGGCGGTGCTGTTGCCATACCAGGTGGTGATGCATCCAGTGAGGATGCTCTCAATGGCACAGTGATAGAAGGTCCTGAGGATGCGGGGGCTCATGCCGAATCTTTTCAGTCTCCTGAGAAAGAAGAGGCGCTGCTGCGCCTTCTTCACTGTTTTGTTTGTGTGTACTGACCACGTAAGATCCTCAGCCAGATGTACACCAAGGAACCGGAAGCTGCTCACTCTCTCCACACCAGCGCCAGTGATGGGGGTGGTGTACTTCTCTGCACCTCTGGAAGTCCACTATCAACTCCTTTGTCTTTGTGACGTTGAGTGTGAGATGGTTGTCTTGACACCAGTGGGTCAGGGCGCTGACCTCCTCCCTGTAGGCCGTCTCATTACCTTTGGTGATAAGACCCACCACTGTAGTGTCGTCTGCAAACTTCACAATGATGTTGGAGTTGTTAGTGGCTGTGCAGTCGTAGGTGTAGAGTGAGTACAGGAGAGGGCTCAGTACACACCCCTGTGGAGCACCAGTGTTCAGTGTGATGGGGGATGAGGTGAAATGCCCAGTCTGACCACTTGGCGTCTGTCAGACAGGAAATTAAGGATCCAGTTGCAGAGGGAGCTGCTCAGTCCTAGATCCTGCAGTTTCCTGTCCAGCTTCGAGGGAACGATGGTGTTGAATGCTGAGCTGTAATCTACAAACAGCATTCTCACATACGTGTCTCTCTTCTCCAGGTGTGAGAGGGCAGTGTGTAGTGTCAGGGCTATGGCATCATCAGTGGACCTGTTGTGGCGGTATGCAAATTGTAGATGGTCCAGTGAGTCGGGTAGTGCAGAGTAGTTAGTTTTTCACAGAACTCTATAGAATCCATAAACTTGATACACCACTTTTTGATACCTCCACTTTTTTGACATTTTCTTCACAAAATTTGAATAAAAAAAAACAATTAGATTAGAAAACATAGAAAATTGGATTTGACTTTGTCCCTCTTTCTATCTTTACCTAGAATTCCATATAATTGTGTGTGGATTGGACTCTATTGTGGCGAGGAGGTGGATGAATGGTATGCTGGTAAGTTAAATCTTTTTATTGTGATCTTTAACATGATCTGTTTAGCTTTGCACAGTTGAAAAATGACTGGATTTCTATCTGTAAGATAATGCTAGCTAAAAGGAACATATTTTAAATGTAAACTCTGTGTTTCTGTTTTTTTTGTAGCTATCTTTGCTGGTGTATGAAGATGGTGTCTTAGATCCATCATCCATCATCCCTCTGATTGATGGTGGGACTGAAGGCTTTAAAGGCAATGCCAGAGTCATTTTCCCTGGCATGACAGCCTGCATTGACTGCACCCTTGAGCTTTACCCTCCCCAGGTAAGGTAGCAGATGTTTGTCTAAAATAATGATCATAGCCATGAGTTAATTATCTTTCAGAACCAGATCCCAGTCAGTTTTTCAGTGCTAACCCCAATCTGTGTCTGTAGATCAACTTCCCCATGTGTACAATAGCCTCAATGCCTCGTCTGCCAGAACATTGCATTGAGTACGTGCGAATATTACTATGGCCAAAAGAGATGCCCTTTGGAGGTAGGAAGTCATACCATATTAGCGGTATTATTTTTTTTTTTCCAATAATAATTACAATTATGAGGTAGTCAAACATTTGAACAGAAAGTATGTTTCAATTTTTGTTTATTTTATTATTTTTTGTTTGTTTTAATGTGGATTAGATGACGTGTCTCTGGATGGAGATGACCCAGAACACATCCAGTGGGTGTACCAGAAATCTCTGGAGAGGGCAGCAGAGTTCAGCATAACAGGAGTCACATATAGACTAACACAGGGTGAGCTTGCATAAATAGCATTTCTGTGGCCATGAGGTGACTGTTACTTTTCTAGCTACTCCTGTGGAAGATGAGCCAAGTAATATAAAACACAGCAAGTTGATGGTGCTTTCAAACTCTTATCTTATTTTGTGTCAGTAAAACATTAAAACACTCCCTAAAGTTCATTCAGATCAGATGATTTGTACAGCTTTTCTTTCTTTTGCCCAAACTGCATTTTCCTCTTTGTTTTCTTTCATGATTAGAGATATAAAAAACTAATTGGCTTTAAATGTTTCAGGGGTTGTTAAGAGGATAATCCCTGCTGTAGCATCCACAAATGCTGCCATTGCTGGTAAGTAGCTAACACTGAATAAATGTAAGACCTGTGGACCTGATTCCTCTATGAACGATTATAAAAGTTAATCATTCACTCGTAGTGCTCTGTAAATAGCATTCGTTTTTTCTCTGCTTTATTCGATGCAGCTGCTTGTGCAACTGAGGTTTTCAAAATAGCATCAAGGTGAGTTTGCAGGTTGTTTGCCACATGTCAAAATGTGTTTAAAAACTGAATGCATATTTCACAGTTTCTAACAACATTGCTATTACCTTTTTGCATGCAGTGCATATTTACCTCTGAATAATTACATGGTCTTCAATGATGTTGACGGCCTGTACACCTACACCTTTGAAGCCGAAAGGAAGGTTTGTGTCTGACTCGCATCTGTTAGTTCATGACAGACTTGCCTGTTTGGATAATGCGTGCATGTTTGTGGTTATTACTCTTATTACAGGAAAACTGTTCAGCTTGCAGCCAAGTACCTTCGGACCTACACTTTTCGCCATCTTCCAAACTCCAGGAGGTGTTGGACTACCTGACTGAGAGCACCTCCCTGTACGTTTACCTCACTTACTGTGATGCCCTAATATTAGTTCCCACCTTGTTTGTATCACACTACCAGCTATATTCAATTTACTTTATGTTGCAATGCCTCCAACAACCAAATACAATGGATTTTTTTCAGACAAATGAAATCACCTGCCATAACAACAACGATGGATGGAAAGAATAAGACTTTATATTTACAGGTAATTAACCTCCCATTTAGTACAGTTTTGTATTCTAGTTCAATCTTTGAGCAATTTGAGGTGTTTTCTGGAGAAGTTCAAGTTTTGTTTGTAGCTGAAGTATTTTGTTTTACAGTCGGTTGCGTCCATTGAACAGAGGACGCGGCCTAATCTGGCCAAAACCCTGAAGGGTGTGTTGGTTTATTTACTGAAAATGTTTCCACATTGGTCAGATGAGTTCACTGTGAATATGCTGACTCACTTATGTTATGAACATGTTTTCCAGAGCTGGGGCTGGCTGACGGACAAGAGCTGGCTGTAGCTGATGTCACCACACCTCAGACTGTGTTGTTCAAACTCTGCTTTACCTCATGAGACAGAATCAAGCACCTCTGCAACTCATCTAAAAGCTACAACAGTTTACTGCTTATTCAGTCAAAATGTCAACCTAAATGTAACCTATTTAACTGTTCCAGTACAAGTATTGACTAAAGTTAACATTTTCCACTGAAAAGCCAAATCTTAGTTCAAACTTGGTTATGTTTTGGTGAATAATTGATGTCAGATTTCTGCATTAATATTTTGCTGGAGCCTATAGCATGTTCTGTGCAATGACAGATGCAAGGGTTATTGTTTTAAGATTACTTTGTACTTGTTTTACAAATTAATATTTATTTATTTCAACTCATTTTTTAGATGTTTAGCCACTGAAGTGGTAAAACACATCGACAATGATGATGTGTGAACTGGAATAAAATAATCTTTTTTTTGTTTGTTTTATTAAGTTTGTGTGCACTTAATGTGTGGCAGGAAGAGGAAAGACAAGTGGGTTTTTTTGTGATTTATTAATTAATTATCCAGTAATTCACACATCTATGTTCCTGAGGAAATACATTTTATACATTCATTTTAATATCTTCTATTCATTTAGACATTAAATTTGACTCTTGTTTGATAACTTAAAAGGAAAATGAAAAGAATAATTATAAACAAATATTTGTAAATGAACTATTAATTTATTAAATAAAAATCTTTTTTTTTAAAGAAAAACTGATTTTCAAAATCTTGAAAAAAAAGGAAAATAATGGATTCAAAATTTGAATTGGTAAAACCATATAAAACCACCTTTCCTCCACTTTTTTGATTTAGTGTCCTTTTCGTTCTAGGATCAAGGTCAGTCGCTGCCAAAGGTTCTTTTATTCATATTAACATATATTTTTAACAGTAGTGATTGCCTTTCACAATTACAAATATAATTCATTGGTATTTTCAGTGGTTCACCAGTTTGACTGTGTGTGTGGAGGTAGTCATATTGGAGAGAACACAAATGATCAGTGAGAGCTTTATCAGGTACCAGTACCTCTGAAATGGGAACAAAAGTGCTCAAAATACATAAATTCCCTGCTGTGACATTGCTGTAGGGTCAGTGAGTGACTGTTTCAAAAATAAAATAATAATAATGGATTGGATTTATATAGCACTTTTCAAGGCACCCAAAGCGCTTTACAATACCACTATTCATTCACTCTCACATTCACACACTGGTGGAGGCAAGCTACGGTTGTAACCACAGCTGCCCTGGGGCAGACTGACAGAAGCGAGGCTGCCATATCGCGCCATCGGCTCCTCTGGCCAACACCAGTAGGGTAAAGTGTCTTGCCCAAGGACACAACAACCAGGACAGAGAGCCCGGGGATCGAACCCGCGACCTTCCGGTTACAGATACGCTTCCCAACCGTATCTGTAACCCCCTGAGCCACGGTCGCCCCAATAAAACAATGCTCCCTTAGAATTTTGTAATTCTGATCTCAGTGACTACTATAACTTTATAATGGGACAGCAGCATATCTGCTAGAGATTAAAACTGATCTCAGAGGTTGACCTCAACCCCCTAGAGGTAAGACCACTCTGCTGATAGGATAGAACTATTGTTACCACACTATAAAAAACAACAACAAAAATCCAGTACAAGGTCATAAATTAATGTGAAGGCTTTTTTTTGTATTATTTAGAGTTATTTTTCTGTATTTCTTAACTACTAAAATGAATTGTTGGAGCAAGAACCCCAAAAGAGGGGAGGGGGGCATTTACATTGTAGATTCTCTTTAAAGGCATCAAAATTATGTAATAAACAAAAAAAATGTGATATAACCCAAAACATGCTTTGTATTTTAGATTGTTCAGAACAGCCACCTTTTCTTTGATTACTGCTTTGCACACTCTTGGCATTCTCTCACTGAGCTTCATGAGGCAGTCACCTGAAATGGTTTTCCAATAGTCTTGAAGGAGTCTCAAGGTGCTGAGCACTTGTCAGCCCTTTTGCCTTCACTCTGCTGTCCATCTCATCCCAAACCATCTCAATTGGGTTTAGGTCACGGGACTGTGGAGGCCAGCCCATCTAGCAGAGCACTCCATCACTCTCCTTCTTGGTCAGTTAACCCTTACAGAGCATGGAGGTTGTATTTATATCCCACTACTGTTTTGAAATCTCGCGACTCAAATCTCATCTATATTGTCCTAGTAAGGCTACCAGAGGGGGCGGCCATGGGAGGACTCTTTAGGACAGGCTATGCTACTGAGTATTGCTATAGCCATGTACGCTCCTGCTACGGTTCAATAAAGCAAGTGGTGTTGAAGATACCCCATGTCTTATTACTTCATATCATGACAGCTACTATACGTCATTAACCTTTCTCTTCTATAACTAATAGGGTGTGGTTTGTCCTGTCTCTGTATGTTTTCCTTTTTCACATCTTGTTCCATTAACAGCCCCAGTTGGACCCAGCAGAAGGCTGCCCCTCCCTGAGCCTGGTTGTGCAGGAGGTTTCTTCCTGTTAAACTGAGGTTTTTCTTCCCTGGTCTTGCTAATTGCTTGCTCACAGGGGATCATTTGATTGTTGGAGCTTTTGTCTTGAGAACTGTAGTTGGAAATTATTGGCTATATGTGGTTTATATGAAAAACTGAATAAAATTTAAGGTAATTTGAACATAACTTGTAACCGAACTTCAGTTGTCTAATCCAACAGACATACAGCACGATAAAATAAATAAGATGCTACCAAATCAACCAAATATTCAGTTGAGGACTGACTATTTTGAGTCTCCTTTCTGATTCGTTTTCTTGATTGTGGATTATAACCTGTTCATTTGACTGATTATACAATTTGCCATGTCTTTACTTGTCCAGGTCTGAATATAACACTGGCGTCAATGTTTTGGTGTGGTAGCATCTCCAGTGATACGATGAAAAAAGAAATACTTCAAAACCAAGAGGAAAAATTGGAGAAGCACTAATGTTAGGGGTTTTGTTACTATCTAAATTCTCCTGTCCTCTTTTTCTGGCATGCTGAAGCGTCCTCCGTCTGACTATGAACCTATACGTAACCAAATGTATCCCGTAGCATGACAGTAAATCTGTTTTCCTAAACTGCAGGGATCAGGCTCAACAAAACCATGCACCTTCTTCCTGTTAGGCGTTAGCTGTGTTAGCTGCTCAATTAAAAGAAAAGAAAATGACAGATAAACCGAAACAAAACAAAGAAAAATGTATAAATTCTACTAGATTTGCTTCTTTCAAACAGGTGGAGCCTAGGTGTCTAAATCTTCGAAAACCTCTCCTGCAATGTCAACATCTCCACCCAACTCAAAAAGCCATCAACAGCAGTTACTTACTGAGGTCCCCCTCACATCCAAAATCTACCAGAGGAGCAGGCCAGCAGGCGTTCTATTCATTTTTTTTAATCTAATCATTTTTATGTTGTTTATATATAAATGTTAACACAAAAGCTGTTAATGTTTTTTATATGGTTCCATCTCTAATTAGATCACCCGTATTTGTGGTGCGAAGCCAATTTACACTTGATATTAAACATCTTTGTAATTTTCTCTTTTTGGATGAGGTGGAAACAACTAGAAAATGTGTTATATAGATGCACACTGTTGTTGCTCATTTCCTAGAAGTTAATTAATATTAATGTATGGTTTGCACCACTTAACCAAACTCAAAACCATGACCCCAATTACTGCTCCAACAGTTCAGATGATCAGCTGGGTATTAAACATGGCAGGTGCTTGATAAATGGATCAGAATCAGGTGTTTTAGAGCAGTTAAGCACCTAAAACCTAAAACAAGCAGTCTCAAATACCAAAGTTTAGAGGCACTACTTTATCAGTATTGCCCTAAGAAAGGTGATTTAACTGCATAGTGTCCCTGAGGCAACAAACCAGAAAATACTGTTTTAGCAAACAAATTACATCAAAATCCACCTTTAAATAACCAAATATTTTTCCTCACATATTCAAGCACATTCACATATTTTAAAATATAGATATTTCCAATTAAATGTGTTATAATGAGATTATTCTTAGCAGGAGTTGGCACTACGTCCTATGTGGATCTGGTTCCCAAAAGGATTGCTCAAGAGCCAGGGTAAACTTCAGAAGATTAACATATTTACATACAGCCTTTGAATGCCAGGGTTATATCACAACAACAAAAAAACCAAATATATATATTTTGTTCATGTTCTTATTTTCAGACCATATTGCAATGTCCTTTCTCTAAAGCTGAATTTTTCGTTTTCCTTTTAAGAAAGTTCTTTGCATCAATCAAACAAACATTTTGGTTAATAAACACTGATGAAACGAATGACAAATGGTTTCAAAGTCAAACTCTCTTTTACTCCTTATTTTACTCGTATCCTGTGTTAATAAATAAAACACAAAAATAGATTTAAGAGACAGTTTAATAACCAATGATACCGTTTACTGGCTGATAGCTGTCTGTTATGCTAATATTTACGGAGGGGGAGGGGCACGACGCGCTTCCTCGCTGGGTTACGGCTCAGACCGGATAATGACGTCACTGTGCTACGTGGAAAAGGAAGCAGCGAGCAAGCTAATGCTAGCATTGCTACAAGTTGAGAGCGACCAAAACAAACGATGACAACCAAGGAAAGTAGCCGTGAAATTTGGGATTAAACGTGAGAATGGTCTGAATTTGCGATGGTTGCAGAGTTCTGGGGATAACTGTATTCCTGCATGACTGACCTTTGGCGTGAAAGCGATTTTGAGGGCCAGCTTGTCAGTTTTCGATCCGAAACTATAGTGCATTGGTACTGTCCATATACACCAAAGGTATGCATTGCTAACTAGCTGTTTGGTAACTTGCTGTCATCAAAGCTTGGAGTGGACAGTCCGTTTTTTGACAGTGCAGATATTCCCAACCAGTCGGCGTTGATTATATATCTATATAAAAAATGGAAAAACGGAAAAAATAAACGTATTCTTCTGCTGACGCTGAATTCGCTCTAACATCCGTGTTACAAATCCTGAACTTGGAGTTTGTTTGCTGTCTTGCCTTATCAGCAAAATGAGTTGGTTCAACGCATCTCACCTGTCCAGCTTCGCTAAACAAGCTTTAACATCAGCTCAGAAGTCAATCGACCGAGTTCTGGACATCAAAGAGGAGGACCAGTGGGATGGTACAACTGTAATGCCCCACGACGGTAAGTAATTAATGTAATATAGCGTGTTAACAGCTAATGTTGATGTATGTAAATGATATGCAAATGTAACATTAGAAGCTAAAGCTATCGAAAGACTTGACATAAATAATCTTTCTCAGCAGATGTCACATTACCTGGAAAGCTTTCATTAAGTGGAGGCTGGGGGCTGACACAGTGGGAAGCACCCGCCGAGGAAAAGACCATCACACCACCCCCTTCATCGGAAGCCATCACTACTCCCGTTACTCGTACTGTTGTGGATGAATCCGAAAATTTT